TGGGTGTCAGTAGTGGGTGTGTGTGTCAGTAGTGGGTGTGTGTGTCAGTAGTGGGTGTGGGTGTGTAGTGGGTGTGTCAGTAGTGGGTGTGGGTGTCATTAGTGGGTGTGGGTGTCAGTAGTGGGTGTGTGTGTGTCAGTAGTGGGTGTGGGTGTCAGTAGTGGGTGTGGGTGTCAGTAGTGGGTGTGGGTGTCAGTAGTGGGTGTGGGTGTCAGTAGTGGGTGTGTGTGTGTGTCAGTAGTGGGTGTGGGTGTCAGTAGTGGGTGTGGGTGTCAGTAGTGGGTGTGGGTGTCAGTAGTGGGTGTGGGTGTCAGTAGTGGGTGTGGGTGTCAGTAGTGGGTGTGGGTGTCAGTAGTGGGTGTGGGTGTCAGTAGTGGGTGTGTGTGTCAGTAGTGGGTGTGGGTGTCAGTAGTGGGTGTGGTGTCAGTAGTGGGGTCAGTGTGGGTGTCAGTAGTGGGTGTGGTGTGTCAGTAGTGTCAGGTGTGTGTGTGTGTCAGTAGTGGGTGTGGGTGTCAGTAGTGGGTGTGGGTGTCAGTAGTGGGTGTGGGGTAGTGTGTGGGTGTCAGGGTGGGTGTCAGTAGTGGGTGTGGGTGTCAGTAGTGGGTGTGGGTGTCAGTAGTGGGTGTGGGTGTCAGTAGTGGGTGTGGGTGTCAGTAGTGGTGTGTGGTGTCAGTAGTGGGTGTGGGTGTCAGTAGTGGGTGTAGTGGGTGTGGGTGTCAGTAGTGGGTGTGGGTGTCAGTAGTGGGTGTGGGTGTCAGTAGTGGGTGTGGGTGTCAGTAGTGGGTGTGGGTGTCAGTAGTGGGTGTGTGGTGTCAGTAGTGGGTGTGGGTGTCAGTAGTGGGTGTGTGTGTGTCAGTAGTGGGTGTGGGTGTCAGTAGTGGGTGTGTGTGTCAGTAGTGGGTGTGTGTGTCAGTAGTGGGTGTGGGTGTCAGTAGTGGGTGTGGGTGTCAGTAGTGGGTGTGTGTGTCAGTAGTGGGTGTGGGTGTCAGTAGTGGGTGTGGGTGTCAGTAGTGGGTGTGGGTGTCAGTAGTGGGTGTGGGTGTCAGTAGTGGGTGTGGGTGTCAGTAGTGGGTGTGGGTGTCAGTAGTCAGTAGTGGGTGTGGGTGTCAGTAGTGGGTGTGGGTGTCAGTAGTGGGTGTGGGTGTCAGTAGTGGGTGTGGGTGTCAGTAGTGGGTGTGTGTGTCAGTAGTAGGGTGTGTGGGTGTCAGTAGTGGGTGTGGTGTCAGTAGTGGGTGTGGTGTAGTAGGGTGTGGGTGTCAGTAGTGTGGTGTGTGGTGTCAGTAGTGGGTGTGGGTGTCAGTAGTGGGTGTGGGTGTCAGTAGTGTGTCAGTAATGGGTGTGTGGGTGTCAGTAGTGGGTGTGGGTGTCAGTAGTGGGTGTGGGTGTCAGTAGTGGGTGTGTGTGTCAGTAGTGGGTGTGTGTGTGTCAGTAGTGGGTGTGTGTGTCAGTAGTGGGTGTGGGTGTCAGTAGTGGGTGTGGGTGTCAGTAGTGGGTGTGTGTGGTGTCAGTAGTGGGTGTGGGTGTCAGTAGTGGGTGTGGGTGTCAGTAGTGGGTGTGGGTGTCAGTAGTGGGTGTGGGTGTGGGTGTCAGTAGTGTCAGGTGTGTGGGTGTCAGTAGTGGGTGTGTGTGTGTGTCAGTAGTAGTGGGTGTGGGTGTCAGTAGTGGGTGTGGGTGTCAGTAGTGGGTGTGGGTGTCAGTAGTGGGTGTGGGTGTCAGTAGTGGGTGTGTCAGTAGTGTCAGTAGTGGGTGTGGGTGTCAGTAGTGGGTGTGGGTGTCAGTAGTGGGTGTGGGTGTCAGTAGTGGGTGTGGGTGTCAGTAGTGGGTGTGGTGTGTCAGTAGTGGGTGTGGGTGTCAGTAGTGGGTGTGGGTGTCAGTAGTGGGTGTGGGTGTCAGTAGTGGGTGTGGGTGTCAGTAGTGGGTGTGGGTGTCAGTAGTGGGTGTGGGTGTCAGTAGTGGGTGTGGGTGTCAGTAGTGGGGTGTGTGGTGTGTCAGTAGTGGGTGTGGGTGTCAGTAGTGGGTGTGGGTGTCAGTAGTGGGTGTGGTGTCAGTAGTGGGTGTGGGTGTCAGTAGTGGGTGTGGGTGTCAGTAGTGGGTGTGGTGTCAGTAGTGGGTGTGGGTGTCAGTAGTGGGTGTGGGTGTCAGTAGTGGGTGTGGGTGTCAGTAGTGGGTGTGGTCAGTAGTGGGTGTGTGTGTCAGTAGTGGGTGTGGGTGTCAGTAGTGGGTGTGGTGTGTCAGTAGTGGGTGTGTGTGTCAGTAGTGGTGTGTGGGTGTCAGTAGTGGGTGTGGGTGTCAGTAGTGGGTGTGGGTGTCAGTAGTGTGGTGTGTCAGTAGTGGTGTGTGTCAGTAGTGTGTCAGTGTGGGTGGTGTCAGTAGTGGGTGTGGTGTCAGTAGGGTGTGGGTGTCAGTAGTGGGTGTGGGTGTCAGTAGTGGGTGTGGGTGTCAGTAGTGGTGTGTGGGTGTCAGTAGTGGGTGTGGGTGTCAGTAGTGGGTGTGGGTGTCAGTAGTGGGTGTGGGTGTCAGTAGTGGGTGTGGGTGTCAGTAGTAGTAGTGGGTGTGGGTGTCAGTAGTGGGTGTGGTGTGGGTGTCAGTAGTGGGTGTGGGTGTCAGTAGTGGGTGTGTGGTGTCAGTAGTGGGTGTGGGTGTCAGTAGTGGGTGTGTGGTGTCAGTAGTGGGTGTGGGTGTCAGTAGTGGGTGTGGGTGTCAGTAGTGGGTGTGGTGTGTCAGTAGTGGGTGTGTGTGTCAGTAGTGGGTGTGTGTGTCAGTAGTGGGTGTGGGTGTCAGTAGTGGGTGTGGGTGTGGGTGTGTGGTGTCAGTAGTGGGGGTGTGGGTGTCAGTAGTGGGTGTGGGTGTCAGTAGTGTGGGTGGTAGTGGGTGTGTGTCAGTAGTGGGTGTGTGTGTCAGTAGTGGGTGTGGGTGTCAGTAGTGGGTGTGGGTGTCAGTAGTGGGTGTGTGTGTCAGTAGTGGGTGTGGGTGTCAGTAGTGGGTGTGGGTGTCAGTAGTGGGTGTGTGTGTCAGTAGTGGGTGTGGGTGTCAGTAGTGGGTGTGTGGGTGTTAGTAGTGGGTGTGTGTGTGTGTCAGTAGTGGGTGTGGGTGTCAGTAGTGGGTGTGGGTGTCAGTAGTGGGTGTGTGGGTGTCAGTAGTGGGTGTGTGTGTCAGTAGTGGGTGTGGGTGTCAGTAGTGGGTGTGGGTGTCA